TAGAGAAGGATTCCTATAAAGTTTGAATTCAAAGAAATATGAACATCATAACTTGTAAGTTCAAATATAGAATCATTTTAAATTTTAAAAGTGTTTGTAACTAGTTGGACAAGCAAATTGTCACTGGGTGAGCTTGTGTTTTCAATTTTACTTTCAAAATTCACTGGGCAAGTTTTAGTTCACTGTAATTGCATTTTCAGTTTTTATTTTTTGTTTTGGGGCTTTAGGCTTTCTTTGATGCGTTTTATGATTTTTTTAAACCTTTGTGCTTATATATAAGGTGGCAAGAGACAAATATAATTACTTTGGAAAATTAGTTTTGCATTAAGAGAAAATTCTTAGTTTTTGGATTAGATTATGAAAAATGAATTTCTTTGTAATAAATCTTCCATGACTAATCAATATTGTAACGTCTTTCATCTTGATTTTTATTAAATATGACCATTTTTGTGGTAAATATTTATTGACTTATTAACATGTTAGAGTATAACGTCTTCGTCTTTATAATTTACCTTTTTTTTACTATGTATAGATATACTATGATTAATTCATTAATCGTGGTTTAATATTGAAAATAATTATAATCATATTCTCTTATTACACTAGTGATCTTTAACAAGTCAATTTGAAGAATTAAATGAATTGAATCAAAAGTTAATGGCTTAAAATTTTCAACTAGTTGATCAAATTTTAGTAGTGGAGGGAATGACCAGGATATCGTATTTGACTATGTCCCTTGTAATCTTAATATTGCATTATTTATTAAATTAATAGTTGTTGCTCCTCCTTATAATGCATCGTTTAATCTTATATCTATCTTACCGTTAATTTCAACCCATCACTTGTTCCTAAAAGTTGAAGTTTCTTACCTGCTCTCCTCCACTAATTCTTCTTTTAATTTTGAAATAAATGAAACCACTAACACAAAAGGCTAATCAATTAAAGATCTCATTAAAAATTCAATGTGATATAAGAAAGCATATATATATATATTCTCTCTACTCTAAATATAATCTTGCCAAAACATGAAATAATTAGTTGCCTTCTACAAATTCTTGGAGCTTCTTCATCTTTCATAGAAGCTATGAATAGCATGAGGTCATTGAGCTTTGGTTGAGGAAAGTGAAACTGAGTTGTATAATCAAGAAAAGTAAATATTACAAAACCTTGCATTAATTATGCTGATTCACATATTTCGCGATTCATAAGTTCAAACCATTCAAAAAGAAAAGAGAAACGGATGCAAGGGACCAATGTATTAAAGTTAAAGTGTTCGAGTCTACACTCTCACAACTTAAAAACACGTTAGGACCTATAAAACAATACTAAAAAGATTAAGAGAAGAGAAAATATTAATGACAGAATTAATTGAAAAAATATATTTCTTACTGTATAGCAAACTTCCTGATTGTTCAGCTCGTACAGAGTATTTATAATTAAGTTTATTCTGTTCAACAAGTTTTATGACCAACCTTTATTTCTTAAATAATTATAAACACATGAATATATTTAATTTTGTTTAAAATGCTATCATTTAAAGAAATCAATATATACAGTTAACAAATGACAAATTATTAAATAGTATTAAAAAAATTAAAAATACTACAAAAAGAAATAGAAAATGTATCTGAAAAAATAAAGAGAATAACATTTACTTTAAAGTAAAGATTATAGGGAAGAATAAAATATGTACTTAATTAAACTTTTGACAGTTAAATTATCATCATTTTACAAATTTTATTATGCATGTTTTCCATGCATTTTATTATCAAAAGTTTTTATTTCATTAATTTTACAGCAGTGACGTGATATCAGAAATGTTTTTAGAAAGATAAAAGACGTAGCTAATTCTTGAAAAATTATGCCATATTAAACTCATTTCATTGATTTAAAAAGAAAAATTCTGGCATGTCTTTATTAGAAACTTAATAGATTGATATATAAGAATGGGTTATAGTAAAATATGTTTTGGATAAAATGTATAAAATAACGATAGATGAATAGTAAAATATTATTAAAGTTTGAAAATCCTTTGTCAAAATGGCATACATTTGAAGATGAAAATCAAAGCCATATGACCCGTTTTTGCAGGCAATGACTCGAAGTCAATTCCACAAGCAATTTTGGGAGAATCTTAAGTGGGTTATGGAAAATGTAGTGTTAGTGGAGTTATGTCAAATGACTTTCCAAGTGGGAATGATGCGCGTTAAATTGGAAAAATGGGAACAATCATGAAAGCGTAAAGAAAGGATTAGAAGATAAGTCATGCCGTGTTTAGGGGTCACAATGCAAAGCACGGATAAGGTTCTATTCTATACCAACCAAAGCATATAGGTTTTACAGCCTTAGTTCTCAAGAAACTAAATCCTATGCCTCTATGTTAAGTTAAAATAATGTTTTTAAAAAATGATATTTTGAAATTTTTCAAAAGTATAACATTTGTTGACCAACCGAAACATATAGACGAATAAATTTCGATTAAGTCAACAATCAAAGATCTATAAATTGGCAAAATTTTTAAAATTACTAGTATACCTTTATATTCTTTGTTTGCTATAAAATCAAAGTATATAACACAAGTTTAAAACCCAAAACTACATAGTATTTATAATTAAGTTTGTTCTGTTCAACAAGTTTAGTAACCAACTTTTATTTCTTAAATAATTATAATCAAATCAATATATTTAGTTTTGTTTAAAATGCTACCATTATATATAGTTTAACAGATGAAAAATAAATCAATAACATTGAAAAAATAAAAATACTACGAAAAGATATAAAATGTATCTGAAAAGATTAAAAGAATCATTTCATTTGCTGTAAAGATTATAGGAAAGAATAAAATATATGAAGAGTGAAACAATGTGGTGGGTTTATTTTTTGGATAATTATTAGTTAACAAATAAAAAAGAAAGTATTTGATAAAATACGATATATGCTGTTGGGATAACTGTTGGTAGTTGGAATATTAACTCGAAGTCCCATTTTTTTAGGCATTGACTCGAAGTCAATTCCATTTTTGTCGACAATGACTCCAACAAGTCAATTCCATTGAGAATGCTGGTACAATATTAATTGTATATTAACCACTCAGTCCCACTAAATGGAAAAAATGGGAGAAATCTTGATAGCGTAATGAAAGAATTAGGAACTGAGCCATGTTTTGTTTAGAAGCCACGATCAAACATTAATCTGGTCACAATCAAAGACCTCCATCTCCCTATTTTAATTTGGCTATAAATTTTCGTCTTTGATTACTTAGCCGTATGCATATTTTTCCTTTAAAGTAAATCCCAGTGAACACTTGCACTTAAACAGAGTTAGATATGGAGTCATGGGTGGGGTGGTCGCTTCTTCTATGTTGCCATATGTTCTTCTTTCACTTCTCATTCTCCCATTCCTTATGTCATCCTCACGATAATATTGCCTTACTCCAATTCAAAACCTCTGACACTTTTTCTTTTGGGTCAGTAGAGACCTCTCCCACTTATGATGATGCCACTTATGCTTTTTTCACCTATGCTGAATGCAGTGATATGGATCCAAAGACAGCAACATGGGAAAATGGGACAGATTGTTGCTCATGGATTGGCGTTACTTGCCATCCCATTTCTGGTCGTGTCATAGACCTCGATGTCTCATGCAGTGCTCTTTATGGTGAAATCCTTCCGAATAGTACCTTTTTCTATCTTTCTCATCTCCAATCACTTAATCTTGCTTTCAATTATATCGACTTTCAACTTTCATCTCTCTTTGGTGGATTTGTGAGTCTCACACACCTCAATTTGTCTTATTGTGTCTTTCAAGGTGAAATTTCTTCTAAAATCTCACAACTTTCAAAGTTAGAATCACTTGATCTCTCTCATAATTCCGGGTTAACGTGGAAAGAAAGCAGTTGGAAGAAGTTCCTCCAAAATGCAACATTTTTAAAGGAGCTTATTTTGGATGATGTAGATATGACTCAAAGTTCAATGAAGTCACTCAATCAGTCTACCTCTTTAATTAGTCTTAGTCTCAGTGACACTGGAGTATGGGAAAACTTGAAAAATGGCATATTATGCTTACCAAAACTTCAACAGTTGCACTTGTCATATAATTACGGTCTCCATGGCCAACATCTTCCCAGCTTCAGCTGCATTGGTGCTTCTCTCACTATATTGGATCTTTCATCTAATCAATTTGAGGGATCAATCCCTGCCTCTTTCTCAAACCTCACACATCTTACTTTCCTTGATCTCTCATATAACATCTATCTCAAAGGTTCAATTCCCTCCTCCCTCTTAACCTTTTCGAGTCTAACTTTTCTAGATCTTGGATTCAATCGATTCAGTGGCCAAATCCCAAATGTCTTTTCCCAGTCAAACAGTTTTGAAAAACTAGATTTGAGTCATAACAATATAGAAGGTGAGCTACCATCAACACTTTCAAATCTCCAAAGTCTCATTTTCTTGGATCTTTCAAATAATAAATTTAGTGGTCAAATTCCATCCTCAATTTCAAATCTTCAACATCTTATTCACTTGGATTTTTCATATAATGAATTTAAAGGCCAAATTCCATCCTCACTTTCAAATCTTCAACATCTCATTCTCTTGGATTTTTCATTGAATAAATTAAGTGGCCAAATTCCACCCTCAATTTCAAATCTTCAATATCTCGTTTTGTTAGATCTTTCACATAATAGATTGGAGGGTCCTCTGCCTAACAAAATAAGAAGTCTTTCAAACCTAACTCGATTATACTTCAATGACAACTTACTAAATGAAACAATTCCTCTTTGGTGTTTATCTTTGCCATCTTTGCTAGAACTAGATCTATCAAATAATCAGTTCACAGGACATATAAGAGCTACCGTATCACATTCCTTTGAATTTCTGTATTTGTGCAACAACAAGCTACATGGCAATATTCCACAATCAATCTTCACTCTTGTAAATCTCCGCCAATTATGTTTATCATCAAACAACTTTAGCGGTTTTCACAACGTCAATTACAATTTCCCTAGCTTAGAGAGATTGTATTTATCTTCTTTAGGTCTGACAGAATTTCCAAAATGGACAGGAAAAGTCCCAATGTTGACACAACTTGATCTATCCAACAACAAATTGAATGGAACAGTTCCCAAGTGGTTGCATGAAATGGATTCATTATATTTTTTGAACCTATCCCAAAACTTGTTGACAACTCCAATCAAGAAATTCTCAAGGAACTACAACCTCCACTTTCTTGATCTTAGTTTCAATTTACTCACTGGCGACGTCTCTTCATCCATTTGTAATGTAAGTTTACTTAATGTTCTCCTCTTGTCTCACAATAAGTTGGTAGGTAGCATTCCACCATGCCTTGCAAAGTTGCCTTCCCTTTCTATTTTGGATTTACAGAGGAACAAACTAAATGGAACATTACCAAGTAATTTCTCAATGAATGCTCATTTCGGCGTTATAAATCTCAATGACAACCAATTAGAAGGTATTTTGCCAAAATCTTTGTCCAATTGCACACAATTGGAGATCTTGAATCTTGCCAACAATCAAATTGAGGACAAATTTCCTGATTGGATTCAAACTCTACCAATGTTGACAGTATTGGTATTGCGTGCCAACAAATTGTACGGTCCCGTTCCAAGTTTAGAGATGAAACATGAATTTTCAAGTTTACTTATTTTTGATATCTCATCCAACTACTTCAATGGTTCAATACCAAAAACCTATATACAAAATTTTCAAGCAATGAAGAACGTTATTCGTTACAAAGTGGGCGAGCTATACATGCAACCTTCCAATAGTAATGCATATGTAACTGAGTCTGCAACTATAACTGAATTTGCAACTATAACAACAAAAGCCATAAATATGGCATTCAAAAAAATTCCAAAAAACTTTATAACCATTGATTTATCTAGAAACAAATTTGAAGGAGAGATTCCATATGTAATTGGAGAGCTTCATGCTCTTAAAGGACTCAACTTTTCTCATAATAGACTCAGTGGTTCTATTCCCCAATCCATTGGAAATTTGACAAATTTGGA